CTTGCAAAAAACACTATAAAATGACATTTCTTGTTCTAATATAATCAAATTTCAAGAATCCCTTGCAAAAAATAAGGTAAAGTGGACATTCGCGCGCGCAAGACGAAATCCTTCCAAAAGCTTAGTGTTCGGAGCGATTTTAACATAAAAACATCAAAAAACCAATGGTTTTTCAACAAAAAAATGTCAAAATCTCATCCCGCGCGCTCTTGCGGATTCGTAGGAAACCCAACACTTTTTAAACATTTCTGTCAAACGGGCTTTTGCGAGCAACTTTTTCGAACTTCTGCGACAACGGTTGCGCACCTGCCAGGGCCATCATCCCTGTCAAATAATACCATGCGGGACACATTCGTTTTTTCTTCGCGCGCGCACGCCGAAATCTCCCAAAACCATTGGACTTCTGTGGGTTAACAAGGCTTAAGAACTTCTGTGGGTGTACGAACGTAGGCTTAACAACTTCTGTGGGTGTGTACTCCACGCCAGTGTAGTAGCCACGGTCGTCCGCAGGCCACGAAGTGAAGTGTCCGAACGTCATAGGGCGGGAAGCTGGGTGTGGGTGGTGGCGAAGAGTCGTGTGGATATTTGGTAGAGCTTGCACTGCCCCCCCACAAAGTGGGGGTATTGGCTGGCGTCGCATGAAAACCCTGGCACTGGTGAGAACACTGAGCGTTCGGGTAAAGTGATTGTTGTTGTTGTTGTTGTTGTTGTTGTAGACCGGGGGCCAACGACACAGTTTGACCGTCAATGTTTTCCCTGATACAAAATAGGGTGCGAGCCCGGGGAAGGGCACTTCAATCGAAAAACAATGTGCACCGGACGGGGGGGATCAACAATAATTATTCTTCAGAAATCAGAGTTCAACAACAACAACAACAGCAACACCACCAACAACAAAAACGATAACAACAACAACCACAACAACGACATCGCCAACAATAACAACAGCGACACCAACAACAACCACGACACCACCAACAACACTAACAACAACAGCAACAACAGCAACAACAGCAGCAACAACAACAGCGGCAACAACAACACCGACAGCAACAGCGCAACAAGCATAATCCTCACCACGGATTCTCACTTCAGCCACGCACCCAGGGACACTGACTGACCGTTCGGCCCCCTCACTCTGACAGCATAGCTGTTTGCCTGATTGCCTGATCACTCCTCTTGTCCCTTTGTACTTATCCCGTCACCGGGCGATGTACCTGTCAGATGTTTCGCTCTGGGAGGGCTTTCATGCCATCAACGTAGGGTCCGGGTGAGGGGGGAGAAGTGAGGTAGGGGAATGGAAGGGGGGGGAAGGGCGAAGCGATGACTGTCAGCCATTCTCCGCGGAGCCATACTTCATCGTGATGCATTTCTGAATTGTGTGGCATCTTTCTTGAGCGTGTGGTCCCCAATGCGATCAGCCTGGCGAGATTCTGACAACTTCTTGTCCTCTGGCTGCAGAGACGAAGTGTTTCGGCTAAGCGATGGGTCAGGGGGGGAAACACCATGTGTTCTTGGAACTGGCTCGAACTCGCAGTCTGGGTGTCGGCCAGCGCCCAACAGATCGCGTGCAAACCGAGAATGGAGTGAGTTCAGGTGTCGCCCCCCCGCCTGATACCGCAGAGCGCCGTGAAAGCGAACGTTCAACTGCACAGGGTGTGTATGGCCTCTCGAAGAAGATCCTGGCGTCGACTGTCGAGGGCTAGGTTTGAAGATGCCCACGCTTCCACCGCGAAGGCTCCTCGCGAATCCCCGCCTCGAGCTCGCCTTCTGGCGTCGACTATCGAGGGTCAGGTTTGAAGATGCCCCCGCTTCACCGCGCAGGCTCCTCGCCGTTCCCCGCCTCGAGTTCGCCCTCAAAACGGGGCCCCTGTCGGGCGTGTTTGACCACGCGGCTGAGTCCCGACCCTCGCCTGCGGCGATACATCCTCGCCCTCGGCGACGAAGCTGGTGAAGCCGGCGGAAGTCGATGCGGCGGCCACGCCGGCTGCGCGACGGGTCGGCGGCAGGTCGGCGGAAAGGTCGGCGGAACGTCAGAGGAGGAAAAGGTATCCATACAGGCCTCGGAAAAAAATAGCGAACACTCATGCCACATTCATCTGTGAACGCCTCCCCCTGCCCCCGGTGTTCAAAGTCGGCGGTGGGCCTGAGGAGTCGCACCTCGACCGCAGTCCTCCCCCCCGCGTGCCAACTTGGAGCTTGGGGGGCAGGGGGGGGGGTCACTAAGTGTTCCCCTCTACCGTACCCCTTCCCCTCGCCCACGGCCGCCGGGCGCTGGGCTTGCGAGGTGCCAGCCTGAAAGGCAGGGGGAGGAGGAGGAGGAGGAGGAGGAGGAGGAGGAGGAGGAGGAGGAGGAGGAGGAGGGGGAGGAGGAGAGATGAGGAGGAGGAAAAGGTATCCATACCCCTTCCCCTCGCCCCTTTCCTCCTTTGTAGGCCTCCTCTGCCTCCGTCGTCGCCGCCGCCGGATGCGCCTGGAAGTCCCTGGTCGCTGCGCCCCCCCCCCCCCCCGGGGAGGTCCGGGAGGTAGCCGCAGGGGCACGTACCTTCCCAGACCCCCGACGTCATGATTTTTTCATGGCGTCGACCTCCCGAGGTCTCGGTCTATTCCCCCCGGGCCAGTTTTTCACCCCGAATCGTGTTTCGACGGTCCCGAGGCCCGGGAAGGGTCCCCAGAGGCTGAAAAGGGCGAAACATCTCCCGTCAGGACTTTTGTTTCATTGCTCGAGGGGGTCTGGGTTTTGGCTTCGCCAGGAGAGGTCGGCGGAAGGGTCGCCGGACGTCAGAGCGAGACGCCGCAAGCTCTGGGGCTCAGGGTGTCCGGAGCGGGCCGCGCTTGCGGGCTCTCCCACGCTCTTCCTCGTGGCCGTCCGACGGTCTCGGGCAGGCGTCGAGCAGCCCTCCGGAGGGGTGGCGTGCCCTCCGGAGGGGGTGGCGTTCCCAGACGCCCTGCGTTCAAGGGTCGCAGCTTCTTCATCGACAGACCGATGCGCAGCGAAGCCCGAAGGCGGAGGGGGAGCCCCGGCCACCAGCAGAACAACGTTCAGAAGAAGGGGTGGGAGAGGCCGGCCCGGCGGTCGCAGCGAGGACTCCCGCAGGTCTGGTGGGGGCACTGGTCGACGGCTCAGCGACCCAGACATGCGAGATCTGGAGCTTCTGTACTGCGGGATATCCCCGGAAGTCCCGACCCTTTCTCGGCGGCCAGCGAGGGGTGGAAGTGAGAAGGAGACTGCCTCCTCGGAAGGCGGCGGGACTTCGCAGAAGCCCCCTCGCGCCCTTGAGACGTGTTCGGCGTCCTCCGGGGGAGGATCAGACAACTTCGGCCCTTTGGGGAGGCCCGCCCCGTCTCGCCTGCCCCTCCCGGCCTCGCCGCCGAGTGCCGGACGCTCGGAGTGTGTCCGCGGCGAGGAGCTGTCCAGAGCCACCGCCTGGGGGAGCGACCTTCAAGGGCCCTCGGCAGGCGGCGGACACGGGCTCCTTCGGGCCCCCGGGGGGGGGGGGGGCAGATACGTCCAGATCCACCGCCTGCCGAGGTCCCCGAGGGTAGATCCCCCATACCCAGACCTCCTCGCGTTGTGGACAAAGGTGCGACGGGGGAGTTTTGTTGGCTATTCTCGGCCTCCGGGGGCTCTTCCCAGGCCTCGGGACCGTCAAAAAAAGGATTCAGGATGAAAAACTTGTCCCAGTGAAGGGGTCCAGACCTCCGGGGGTCGACGTTGTGAACAAATCACGACGTCGGGGGTCTTGGTATGAGAGTGTTTTTACCCTCAGGGCCATAACACGCGTTATGTCCCCTACCCTCCCCCCCCCTTCCCCCCCCAATGACGCAACGCTACCCCCCGCCCCCCCCCAATGACGCAACGCTACCCCCCGCCCCCGGGGCGTCTGCGGCACTGTCGCAGTGCGTCTGGCACCACAGTCTGGGGGCGGGGGGGCTACGTTTTGCCCCCCTTCCCGTCCCCCCCCCTCCCCCCATAACGCCCTTATGGCCGCGAATTAAACATGTGCTCCATCCACGCCCTCGCGTTCTAGACTCTGGGGGCGCGATCCAGTGGATACGCGGTCGTGCAGATCCAGGCCTCCCGGAGGGGGTCCGTGCAGAGGAGGGTGGAGGATCGGATCGCGCCGCATCGGCGGTGCGGCTCGACGTGGAGCCCGAGCGTCTTCACGCAGACGGCGCCGATGCGTCGCAAACGTCGCCGATGCATCGAGAATACATCGGCGATGCAGCGCCGATGCGGCGCTATCATCCGACCCGATCTAGTCGGGTCCCAGCTAGGAGGCCTCTAGCAGACATAGACTCGCGTCCTGGACAACATTCGGACGGGCGGTGTTTTGCCAGTTTGGGCTCCCGGGGGCCCTTGCCGGGCCCCGGGGCTCCGGGACCAGAACCCGTCGCGGGAAAGGGTCGGGTTTTCCAGGGACCCCGCATTGAAAAGAGCAGGACGTCGCGCGTTTTGGGGGTATGCTCCGCGCGAGGTAGCCGCGAATACACGCTCCGCATCCGCCGCGTCGCGGCCCAGGGACCTGGCCCGCGAGGCCTAGGATGCGGACACGGTGGGGAGTTTTGCTGTATGGCGTTTCGCTCTGCCAGTTCTGGCCCACCCCCCTTCGGCGCGAGACGTTATCCACTTTCAGTCCCGAGGTGTCAACGTTCCGAGCCTTTCCCGAAGACCCGCCCCGCGGAGCGGAGCGATTCGCTGCCCACTTGCAGGGCATAGCGTGTGTCGCCGGGGCCGCCGCAGCGCAGCGACACGCTAAGCGAAAGTTCCCGACCGTATGTTCCTAGACCCCCGACGTCATGATTTCTTCACGACGTCGACCCCCAGAGGTTTCGACCTTCGACCTATTCCCCAGGACGGGTTTTTCATCCTGAGTCGTTTTTTTATGGTCCCGAGGCTCGGTAAGGGCCCCCAGAGGCTGAAATTTGCCAACAAAAACCTTCCGTCGCGATTTTTCATGAATCGAGGAGGTCTGGGTTTGCTTCTCGCCCACGAGCAGGCCGCGCTCGCTTCCTCGGGGTCAGCAACTTCGACCAACTGGACGTCGGCGAGCCCGGCAGCGGCGTCCGGGCGCTGCGGGAGCTGCTGCGGGTCGCGAGGACTCCTGCTGTTGGCAGGAGGGCGGGGAAGGCAGGGGGCGGCCCCTCCTTCCGAGCCCAACAGAAGACAACTACAACTGAGGGGATCTTTCTGCAGGGCCTCCCGGGTGAAAACGCACCGATCGAAGCATAAACTTGTGGCGCTTCGCGCGGATTTCTTGGATCTGCGCTGGGTCCCCCCGGCTGCGCCTCCGGCGCAGCGCCCGGCGCGCTCCGCGCGCCAGGGAGGGGGGCACAGCGAGGATCCAAGAAATCCGCGCGGAGCGCCACAAGTTTATGCTTCTGATGTTTTTTCCTTCCAACCGAGCTCGGGATGAACATTTTGGCTGTGCTTGTGGTCGATCTGGCCGACTGGAACGCCCACATCGACCACAATCAGTGCTAACGCTAAGCTGGTTCCGGTGTTCCGACGATAGGTGGCATGCGCAAGGCATCCCCCAGGGTGTGTCCTCGATGTGGTTGTGGTCGTGTGCTGTCCCCGCACTCCTCCGTCCGAGTCTACGTTCGGGAGCGTTTTGCGGTGGGTCCTCGGACGTTCTGGAGCTCCGCGCGGATTTTCTTGGGTCTGCGCTGGGTCCGGTCCCCCTCTCTCGCGCGAGGAGCGCGCCATGGGCGGCGCCAGGGATGCCGCCAGGGGTCTCAGAGGGGGTTCAAGAAATCCACACGGAGCTCTGGAAGTTTCTGTTTATGCCTTTCCTCCGCCTTCTATCCCTCCTCTTCCTCGATCGCCTGCTTCTGGCTCGCGTCGCTGTGCTTGACCTCGCCGACGGGGCTCTGCACTGGCGGCGGTGGCCCCCCAGCTGGCGTGAGCGAGTTGGGCTGCCCAGGCGGTGTCTCCGACGGCGAAGGTCGCAGTTGGCGGCGTGCGCAGCCCCGCCCTCCGTTCTCCCTCCCCGCCTCCTGCACCGCTGGGTCGCGCTCGGCGGGAGGCCCTTCGCTGCCTGCGCGGTGCGGCGGCGCAGCTGCCTGCGGCCTGCTGCGGCGGCCCCAGCAGCGCCCTGGCCTGCGCGCCAGCTTCGAGAGGCGCTGCGGCGGCCCCTGGCCGAGCACGCGTCCGCGGCGTCCTCTGCGACCGCCCAGGTTCGAGGCGAGGAAGGGAGGACCACTGGGGGATCCAGCGGGGCTCTGGTTTTCGAGCCGCTCCTGAGGCTCAGGTCCGAGGGCCTATTCGTGGCCGAGGCTTGCGGTGGCTATAGAAAGGCCCCTTGGTTCGTTATGCGGCGCTGCCTATGGTGGCACGCTGGCTGTAGACAGCAGCCGCACACGATGATGCATCTCCCCGCAGGCAGCCTATGGGGGGCACAGCCCTCGCCGACCCCGAGATTCGTAGGGTGCCTCAGGGCTCCGCGGGCTCTTTGGGAGACGCGAGGATTCTCCTCGTGGAGCATCCGTGGGCAGGCCGGTGTCTGGCGCGGTGAGCCATGCTGTATGCTTGACCCTTCTTAGGGCTACCAACACTGATACAAGCATGACAACTCGGAGGTCCTCGCGGATTCGTCGGATCTGCGCTGGACCCCCCTCCTTGGCGCGCTCCGCGCGCCAGGGGCGGCGCCGGAGGCGCCGCCAGGGGGGCCCATCGCGGATCCGAGAACTCCGCGCGGACCTCCCAAGGTTTTTTCTGCTCACGTCATTGTTCGTTCCCCCAGTTCTCCCTTTCACTCCCGGGGTCGCCCCTCCGAGCCCAGCCGGCGTCTGAGCCCACCTGGCCGCTGAGTCAGGCCAGCCACAACTGGGGGAGCTGTGGTCCTTACCTCCTGGGGGACCCATCGATCTCGACACCCCTCTCGAGAGATCGTCGGCGCGATGGGTTCCCCCAAGGGGGTAAGGACCACAGCTCCCCCAGTTATGGCTGGTCGCTGAGTGGGCTCGTTCGTCGTCCTCAATCTGGGCCGCCTCCGTCCTCCAGTATCCGTAAGGGCTTCGCCCCCTGCCGCCGGCCCCTTCTCTCGGAGAATGCGCTATGCAAGAGCTATGTCATGAGGCCTGGGCGCTGTCGTGAAGCAGTATCGGAACTTCATGCGAGGCCGACTCGTCATGAGCAAAACCAATTGATCACCAGAGGCACTTGGCGATTGGTAAGACGTCGTGGCCCTACGGATCTGCGTGAGGGGTGCCGCCGAATTTCAGGTGGAAAATCCCCTGTGTTCTTGAACCCTGACCCTGCCGATCTGCGTGAGGGGTGCCGCCGAATTTCAGAAATGTGGAAAATCCCTTGTGTTTTTGGACTCTGACCCCGCCGATCTGCATGAAGGGTGCCGCCGAATTTCAGAAATGTGGCAAATCCCATGTGTTTTAGGACCCTGACCCTGCCGATCTGCGTGAGGGGTGCCACCGGATTTCAAACATGTGGCAACTCCCATGTGTTTTAGGACCCTGACCCTGCCGATCTGCGTGAGGGGTGCCACCGAATTTCAGAAATGTGGCAAATCCCATGTGTTTTAGGACCCTGACCCCGCCGATCTGCGTGAGGGGTGCCACCGAGTTTCAGACATGTGGCAAATCCCATGTGTTTTTTGGACACTGACCCTGCCGATCTGCATGAGGGTGCCACCGAATTTCAGAATGTGGCAAATCCCATGTGTTTTTGAACCCTGACCCTGCCGATCTGCGTGAGGGGTGCCACCGAATTTCAAACATGTGGCAAATTCTATGTGATTACCCATCCCAGCAATTCAGACAATACGATTTCTCAGTTGTAAAAATGCCCGTTTTGGGCCTCCCCCCCTCGCGCGGTCCATCAACAAGGAACAGTAAGCAGCAAGAAGTCAACAAGGAACAGTAAGCAGCAAGACGCAGAACTGTAACAGTGGAAACTGGAAGCTGCAACCGGTACAGGAAGCTGCGAACCTCCGGCCTACAGCCTGGTGGCCCCACAAGGGGGCCGGCGGATCCATCCCCCTTCCTCCATGCTCCATCCTCCATCCTCCATGCTCCTCCCTCTCTCCCTCCTCCCTCCTCCTGCCTCCTCCTCCTCCTCCTCCTCCTCCTCCTTCTCCTGCCTCCTCCTCCTCCTCCTCCTCCTCCTCAGCTCTGTAGCCTCTGGGATCTCTCTGGGCCCTCGCCCTGGCCAGGATCCGGCCCGCGGTGCACGAGTTCGAGCTGCACCCGCTGCTGCACGACGAGGCCGCGCCCCCCGCCAGGGCGGACTTCGCGCGGAGCTGGCCTCGGAACGGCGGACTGGGCAGGCCAGCCACAACTGGGGGAGCTGTGGTCCTTACCCCCCTGGGGGACCCATCGATTTCGACCCCCCTCTCGAGAGATCGTCGATGCGATGGGATGCGATGGGTTCCCCCAGGGGGGTAAGGGCCACAGCTCCCCCAGTTACGGCTGGTCGGAGCGGGCAGGAGGGTGGCGATCATGCAGTCGGCCCGCATAGTGAGGACGAGCAGCATTCCCAGGGGTGCCCTTGCATCCTTGTCCCTTCGGCCCATCCTTGGGTCCGCTTTCGCTGGGCAGCCTCGTTGGAGCAACGTTCGCTTGGGCCTTCAAGGCCCTTGCGTCCTTACCGCGCGTCCTTATGATACGGGCTGACTGAAGTGCCGCGGACGAAGGCTGTCACAGCGAGCGATGGTGGTGGCGGCGATGATGGGAGGAGGTTGCAGCAGCGCTCCCAGCTCTACCCTCGCGCGCCAGTGCCGAACCCGCGCGCGAGCTGCCCACCCCCTTCCGCGATCATTGGCGAGATCCACCCCATGCGGGTCCAATCGGCGCTGGGGCATCGGACACCTCCGCTGGGGTTCACTCGGCTGCAGGGTGTCCCTCGAGCTCTGAACCCCCGCCGCTGTTTCAGAAACCTTCCCTGCAGGGGTAGGGTGCACATACCCCGAGATCCGACGAGAGTCACGACTGCAGCCCCAGACTCCACTTTTCTGCGCCCCATTCTCCAGCTTGATCGATCCGCGAGGGCCCCAGGGCCCGCAACGGGGCGCAAACGCCCAGCTCGAAAGAGATCGGACGTCGGGATCGCAGGATGGCCGAGAAAAGCCCAGTGTGATTCTTCTCGAGGCAGAGGCCCCCGACCTCTCGACCACTTCCCCGGGGCCGGCTCTAGTTTTTGTGGACGGTCTCGAGCCCCAGTATAAAGGAGCCCTCAGAGGCCGAAACCTGTGCAAAAGCCCCGCCTCCATTTTTGCTTCGAGGCGCCGACTTGTCTGGGAAGGCGGCGGCTCAGGGACGCCCTGCAGCAGACGGCTCGTCCTTTGGGGGCCCTGGCCACGCGGCCGGGCGCGCCGCGCCGCGCGGGGCGCGCTCCGCCGGCCAGGGGCGGAGTGAGGGGTGCAACTTCTGGAGGGTCGGGATGGGTACGGAAGCACCGGTTCTCCCAGACCCCCTCGAGTCATGAAACAATCACGACGCGAGGTTGTTCGCTATTTTCGGCCTCTGGGGACCCTTACCGGCCCTCAGGACCGTCAAAGAACGACTCAGGATGAAAAGCCGGTTCGGGGGAACGGATCCGGACCTCTGGGGGTCGCGTCATGAAAAAATCATGACGTCGGGGGTCTTGGCTTAGGCCTCCCAGATGGGGCCGGCGCAGATTTTGGTCGGGCCTATCCCTCTACAGGAGGAAGATTCAAACATAGTCAAAAACTTGTTTGGGGACGATTCTTTGGGGGTATGTTTAATTCTTCGTCCCAGATCCGCCTGTACTCTGTGTCCCTCAAGTCCCCGGACTACTGGTACCCCCCGGACTACAGGTACCCCTTCCGTACATCCCCCCGGACTACAGGTACCCCTGCAAGACGCATCTAAACATAATAGATGCGTTTAGATGCGATCGCGCCCTGGCGCAGGCGAGAAGCCTATCGTTTCTATTTTTCTGCAACGACGACAATATAGATACTATTTTTAGATGCGCGCCCCCGGCCTGCGCGGGAGCGCCGCCGCATTTACACGTATGTATTTTTCAAGCATATCTAAACATTTGGAACCGTATCTATTTTTCTTCGAGAGAATATCTGTATTCGCATTTGTGTTTCAAAGAATGGCAGTGCCGCGCCGTATCTATTCGTATCTAATTCTTGTCAGAACGAATGCAGTTGGCTGTGCTCCCGGCCCGAACGAGGTCCATGATTTTGGTCGAAGCAATGAACAACGGGATGAGGATAGTGGGATGCCGTAGCGATGAGGAGTGAGGAGGCGAGCAACGACGACAAAAACGACGAGGTGTATATGGATATCAACGACGAAACGAAATTTAGGAGAGAACTTGGTAGGAACAGGGAACCGTAGGATGGGGAGAGCAAAGAGGAGGAGGAGGAGGAAGAGGAGGAGGAGGAGAAGGAGGAGGAGAAGGAGGAGGAGGAGAGGTATGGTATAGTAGGTTTGGTAGGTGTGGCATAGTATGGCATGATATGATACGTATGGTATGGTATAGTAGATTTGATATGGTATGGTGGGAATGGTATGGCAGGTGTGGTGTGGTAGGTATGGTATGGTAGGTTGGCGTGGTATTGGTATGGTTCGCATGGTATAGTAGGGAAGTGGGAGAAGGAGAGGGAGAAGAAGGAAACGGAGAGGGTGTTCTAGGAAAACAAGAGCCCCACTCAGGATGCGGGGAACAAGGGCCCCTCTCAGTATGTGGCGAAAGAAGAGAAGAGAAGATGAGCACCGAGGAGGGCGGATGAGGAGGATCCAAGGAGCGAGGAGCGAGAATGATCGATCATGGGCGTGCGCAGGAGACATGGTGCCGTATCTATTCGTATCTATTTATGGTATACACGTGTTCCAGCGATGGACGCCATATTGAACCGTATCTAAACATATCTAAACACATCTACTCGCATCTAAAAATGACCCCGTATCTAAAATTTGGAAGACAAGATACTTCCCGTATCTTAAACGGTACGAAATCGTATCTCAACGTATCTATTTTCCAAACATATCTATTCGTATCTAAGTTTCTGTACGATGACGCTGTAAAACACATATGATTCGGGGAGGAATTTCAGATGCCATGCGGTCCTTCCGAATGCAGCTGCCGCTGGGGTAATGAGCAACCAACATAGATTTTTAGATGTGTCTTCCAGGGACCCCGCCCCGGACTACAGGTACCCTCCCCCCGGACTACACGTACTCCTCCCTGGTTACAGGTACCCTCCCCGGACTACAGGTACCCATAGGTACCCCCGTTAGGCGCTACAGATCTTCTCCGAAGCTACATGACCCCGTCAATTCGTCGTGCGCTTGCTTGGCTGTGACCGAAGCAGACAGCGCAATCAAGCAAGATCTGGCAAATATTCGCCCTTCCTCATACTTGCGCATGCCCTCCCTACTGGCAGCAGCGTGTGTGTTCGCGCGTGTCAGCGCGCGTGCGCGTGCGCGTGACGCGTGCAACGATGCGCGTGCAGTCCCGCGCACGCAGACACCCGCGCGCCGAAACCCGTGCGCGTGGAGCCACACGTGCTTCGACGAATAACATGCGCGCCCCCCCGGACTACAGATACCCCCCCGCGCCCCCACCCCCGGACTACAGGTACCCCCCCGCGGACTACAGGTACCCCTTCCCCGGACCACAGGTACCCCCCCCCAGACTACTGGTACCCCCCCCTGGACTACAGGTACCCACCCAGGACTACAGGTACCCCCAGAACTATTGAGGGACACAGAGTAGGAGGACGTGCCCGACCTAACACTGGTTCTAGGCCTCCCAGATGGGGTCGGCCGATGCATCTCCGAGCACAGTATCTGACTACCACCACCAAGATCGAGAATAATATACGATGCGATTTGGTGCAGTTTTGCTCTGGTGAAAAGCCCGCAGTCCCCTCCCCCCGCAAACGGCAACAGGGCTGCCCCCTCTCTCTTAAGGACCGAAGCAGAATTCATCAAAGCACGCGCTGGTGTATACGAATTGGCCTCGCAGCATCGACGATGCGGCTCGATGTGCAGCCCGTTTTGCTTCACGGCGACGGCACCGATGCATCGCCGACGTCGACGGTGCATCGCCGGTGCATCGCCGGTCGCCCGGGGGGGGGAGGCGGCGGCGCGCGGGCCCCATAACCCATGTGATCGCGAGTTCCTAAAAAGCAGCCTCCTCCTCACCCAGGCAGGGCTCGTTTCGATGCTTCCGATTCGATTCGATTCGATTTCGATGGCTTCCGATTCCGATTCGATTCGGCTTCGGATTTCGATTCGGAATCCGATTCCTTATTGGAGGCATAATAGCCTGCCGATTTCCGCCGATTCGACTTTTCCCGACTCGGCTGCCGATTTCCGCCGATCCGATCCATTTCGATCGCCGATCCGATTTGTCGATTCGATACTGGGCTCTCCCTCACCCAGGGATCTGGAGGTATGGCGGCCCCACGGTGAGGTCCGCGCCTCCACTGGCTCGAGGCCTGTGGAAGCTCACAAAGGTGGCGCGGAGCCGACCCCAGCGAGGGCGTTCCAGGTTGAACGCCGCCAGGGTCCCCAAATCGGCCTACACCAGGTCATTTTGCTGTGATATCGTGCGCCTCGTCGACGCCGCGCAGGGCCCTGGCAGCTCCCCTCCCCCCGGGCCGCCAGGCCATGGTGGAGCTCTGCCGGACCGAGGGCATCCGCATCCCCTGCGTGCTGTGCACCGCTCCGCCGGGGTCCTTATGGAGCTTCTCCCTGTCCCTCCCCACTGTGCTTCTCCTAGATATCGATCGGTCGATCTATCTATCTATCTATCTATCTATCTATCTATCTATCTATCCATGTACGTATCTGCTGTGAAAGCGCCTGTCAATGCAAGACGCCCCAAGGCATAACACGGCGAGTGCTTCGAGTCCATGCGGGACGTATTTGCATTAGCGGGCTGGACAGTGCCGCACCTGGACAGAACCTGTGGCAGGTTCGATCTCTCTCCCCAAGTCAGGTCACAAAACTTGGAGCCAGACATTGGACTCCCTTCCCCATGGACCACTACCCCCTTTCTTAACACTTCTTATGAGAGCCAGGAGGTCGGCTGGCGCTGGGGTCCTGGGGCGGGACACCCTCCACCCAGCAGATTGCTTGACCCATGTGGGGACGAGGCCCTGGAACGGACGGATTCCTCTGTCTCTCCAACCCTTGGTGGGGGGCATCGACGGGCAAGGCTTGCAAAGCGAGTCCACACCCGCCCACGCATAGCCCCCGTACCTAGTGCACGACGTCACCCACCCACTCCCTCAAACCCGACTTCCCGCCCCATCCCACGCCTTGAACGTCAACAGGTGGTGTCCCTGCAGCATCATCAGCGCACTGGATTCCGAAAGGGCCTGCGACGATCCTTCCGACGGGCGGGACTCGAAGAACATGGGAGCCTTGAACTTGAGGAGCATTTTGCGAGCCCCATCTGACGTTCTGCGCTCGCCACTTCTTGAAAAGTCTGGACGGCAGACGTTCCCCGAGGAGCATGTGGGCTGCACCAGGGGTCCCGCTCGTCTGCCCCCGACTCTCCAGGAGAGCCCCGGGCGTCGGCCAACGATCGCTGGCAGAAGGAGACGTCCTGGACACACCTCCACCTGACACCATCCTCCTGCACTTGCGCAAGCTGTTGAAACAATTGTTTTGGCCTGGTCAACGCTACAGCGCCTGTCCCAGCCAACCTACCAGCATGCTCATCGCCTTCACGCTCGAAGCGGGACGCGCGACCTTCAGTAACATCACTGTACGTGGCGCGCGCCAGAGTTGTGTTGACCGTGAAGCCATCTTCAACGACGTGCCGAACTCTGGGCCACATGTGGCCCCTTGGGTTGCAGGTCGGAGCCGAGGCCAGTCCATCCCAGACGTGCCGAAGGGTCCCCACACAGTCCGTGTAAGACACCGGGTCTCCTTCAACGATTTAGGCCGCATCGTGTAGGTGTAATCTTCGCCATGACGGTCTTGCTGAAACGGAGCAGCTTACCTAGGCTCTGGCCCCGAGGCCGGTGACAGGAGGTCCCCATGTTCGTTGACCATGCGGATCGCCCATCCAGCTCGACGAAACCTCGCGGAGGTGGGGTCGAGGGCCGATCCGTCCGTGAAAATATCGCCAGACCATTTACCCTTCGACCGCTTATTCAACCAATCTATGTGGCACTCACCCTCACTCAGCGCAGGTGGAACAAGCTCTCGCGGACCAGGCAACAGTCCAGCAGCAAATGTCTCAAGATCTTGGCAAAGGTCGAGCGCACGTGTTGCCGCCTTCGAGCTGACGAGGTGAGCTGCGCGCGCCTGTCCCCGTCGAAGGCAGGACACCCGAATCTCTTATGAAACAGATTTCCTGGGGCGGCCCGACGGATCTGACACTCGTGAAGTTCGGCTAGCCGGTGCTCGAAAAACCTACACTGAGCCCAGATTCCCCAGGACAACACATATGTGACTGAACTATCCCTGCTATCCCTGATCATGGGCTTTAAACCACGTGGAGGTCTGCACCACACCTTGTTTGAACATGTCCTATGCTTCAACGCTGTCACATCAGCCCTGTACACTGGCAACATCACGCACTTCACGAGGAGGAAGTGCCAACATATCGATGTGGTCGCCATCCGCTTTGCGAAACATGCATGCTGAACCAGGTAACCAACCCATCTCAGCAAAGGTGGCAAACATCACATGGGCAGGTGATGTGGCAGCGACCCACGGCAAAGTACTTTGGTCAAGTGCTTGCTCAAACTTTACCTGCACGACTTGCGTTGGGGAACCACCCCAAATCGCCTTTGCCCACTAATGCACAACGGTTGAGTGATACATAACATATGTGTCAATAGGTTTGCCACGATCAGATGTCCTCAACCTGTTTGGGGCAAGGGCTCTTGCTTTCTGCTTACATGCGTTCCTGCACGCAGAGGTCCTAAGATAATGAGCCTGTCTTGGCGTCAACCTCGCAAACGCAGTACCCCACAGAGCCCCAGTTTGAGGCCCAGCACGGTATACATTGCCCACAGCGGCACCAGCAGCTTTGAGTTCTCAGAACTTCCGACATCGCTTCCCGGACCTCCCCGTTTGAGCGCCGTAGGGCCCCTCATACTCTCCCTCCGAACAGCATCGCACCCGAGAGGCCGAACTGATTGTGATCTTTCAAGTAAGCTGCAGTGGCTTCCAAGATTGCCCAAGACCCTTGACGATATCTTGGGAGGAGGTGCGATAGTTGGTTTCCTTGCCCGAGACGACCAACTCAGACTTAACGAACTCGTCCTTGATTTGCATAATTGAACCTCCTAGATCTTAACTTTCAATGTTGCTGGACCCGTCTGCTGCAACGAGACATCGTCAACGATGCTCCGAATGTGCTACGGTGGGTATATGATGGCCAACGCATACAGCACACGATACACGACATTATTGGCGTGACTCGTGGCCATGCTGCATCGTGTAATAAGTGTGCCACTTACGAAGAAAGGCCTGCGTTCGTGCACCAGCAAATGTGATATCACGAGGTTCGGTGTACGATGCAATGGCGGTATTGTGATACCCAGATGGTATCCTCCTCTCTTTGCCTCCCCAGACACGATCACTGGCGCCACCCTCTCATAGAGCTTGGCAATATTCATGCTGAACGTTGCAGGCTGAACGTGCCGTGCTCGCGCAAACTCCGTGAGCATCGAGTGGTGCCATCCAGCTCGGTCGCATTCGTTGTCTTCTGGAGCCCACCCAGGAAATGAGTTCGGTGGTTGAGTTCCCATGCGCGTGCTTCACATGGTCGAACCCTTCCCCCCCGCACCGTGAACAATGGCATGAGCGCCAGTGTGCGCAGTCCAGAACCCTCAAGTCCACCTTGGAAGACGGTGGTGGGGAACTTGCCAGGGATCGCAAAGGTGTCCTTCCCCCAGGAAGTCATTACGTCAACCAGCCTATCCAGGAGCACTTGTGACAGAATCGTCCAGGACCTAGGATTCAAATCATCAGCCCAAAGCCCAGAGTCGTGTTTGAACTTATTGAGGGCCCACAGCATGATTTGCCTAGATGGTCTCCCAAGGGGGCTCCGCCTCCTTGCCAAGCTTATTCTGCTCCAGCGTGAGACACGACCGATGGCCAATCGCAGTCCCATTCCCGCTAAATCGCCTCAATCGCCTCGTCCCCCTGGAGCTCCCACCCCTCGGTACTGCGAGGACCCACAGCTGGGTGCGTCTCTTTGGAGTAAGACTCAGCAGCCCTGCCTCCCTTCGTGGTAGCGTCCTCAGCCCAGCTCTTCCACTTCGATTTTTTTCCCTGTGCGAATTTCTGGCCATCAGGCGATCGTGGGTCGAGCAGGCAGCCGGCATAAGCATGCCGATGTGGATGCCTATCACCGACGAGGGCGCTACCGAAGTAAGCTGTGCCTGCAATCCTTGCTCGTCCAATCTCAAGAACCAGCTCTGGCTTCCGCCCAGAGCTGCGAGGTGACACCTTTCTCGATGCATGATTCCGATTTGGCCAGGAGTGCCACTGGCGATCGCTAAGCTCGAAACAGAGGCTGGAATTAGAAAACGGTTTCTACCGTAAGGAGAGCTCGAGCGAGAGAACATTACGCTGGAGACCCTGATACCTCCAGAGACGCATCCCTGGTATGCCCACAGATATCGAAACTTCTACGCAGCTACATCTCGATCTTATAATAGACATGGGCCCAAGTCAGCCCACCTTGAAAAAATGCATGCACGTGCCTAGCAGTCATTCTTCCTGCCGCTTGTCGACCAAACACCACATGTCATCACCCCACCTACGGCCCTCCACGTTACGCTACGGGGGCCATAGCGTATGCCATGCAAAAACCCAAGCCCGATGTCATGGTATAAGCTATTGCTCGTGGGGCCGTGGGTGGGGAGGTGTCGTTTGTGTTCTGGTCGAGCTTGGGGTACCGGGGGGGGATCCGTTGTGTACCAGCGTCATCTGATTGATGTGCCTCCGACCTCATTCATAGACGCCTGCAAGCGCAGCCAGTGCGTGCTGTCCCATGCTCGTTGCAGGGCAACGTTCAACGGACCTCCTCAAGAGATTCTTGTAATTGGTGATTGCAGCGTCCTGGCTCTTCCTCGCTTCCTGGCCAACAAAGAACTGAGGCTCCTGGCCACCAGCATCCTCCAACCGCCAGTTCAAAACTGATTCCCGGGTGCTCCCAGAGTCGGCACTGCACAAGAACACTTCCAAGCGCCCTTGTTTGACCCTCTTCCCGTTGAGACGTGCTGGTTGGCCAACTGCTGACGCGTCGCATCCTGGCTGAGACGCTGTCCGGGTCGCAGCACTTGTGCAAACGCATATAGTTTGTGGCGAGTTTGTGGCAAACGCAGCACGATCCTGACCGTAGTCATCTAACCACATGCAGAGCTGCATGGTGATGAGGAGGCTAACGTGCCTAGAGTACGCCTTGTACATGGTGTTCAACTTTTCGTCGAACTCGTTGCTTCTTCGCATCACTTGTCCTGATCTGCTCCTGCAGCTTCCTCCTGACCTCCTTAGCGACCAGTCGGGCTGCGTTACGTACTACATCTTCAGCTCCTGCTGCTGCGTCTTCTGCCTCTTGCATGGGCAGAGACGTTTTGGCAATATTGTCAAGCTCGCCTTCGTCGACAAGCATGTCATCATCGTCCTCTCCGGGCACAGCCCAAGGAGGAGAAGCAGCACCGTTGCGAGCAGAAACCCCTTAGGCTTCCAGCATGCCCAAGGGAATCTTGAGATACTTGCCGGTCGGCTCGTTCTGCTTCTGCTCGTGGAATCGGAACTTGAACGCGTCAGTCGCATTGATGAATTGGTGCTCTTCCATCTCGAGGATCGGCCCTTCAACCGCAGCCACGGACTTGGCGAAGCGCTCCTTAGCCTCCTGCTCCAGCGCATCGACCTGGCGCTTCGCTTCCTGCAGCGCCTGCTCCGCATCAGAGAGCTTCTGCTGCAGCAGCTTCTTGGCCTCCTCCACCTCCGATTTGACGGTCTCCAGTTTGGCCTCCAGCTTGCTGGAGGTCTCTCGAGCGCTTGATCCCTTGCTAACCGCGTGTTGATGGAGTGCTACTGGATGTGGAGTGGCTTTGCTTCCTGAATCTGCCTTTGCAACTTCTCCACCTGCTCCACCGCCATTTGCTAATCATCCTGGTGACTCGCAAACCCTGCAGCCTTCTGCCAGTGATCTTCGTGATGCCCTCGTCCTCCTTGGCGGTAGAAGACGAGGCCCACGGTGGCGTGGTAGAGGCACTTCCCTTCTCCAGGCCCTCGAGGTGCTTGAGAATCGTCTGCAGCGTTAAGTCGGCCTTCGGAGCTCGAGACGCCACGAGCCTTCGAGTCCCGATTGCTTCTCAGCTCCTTTCGCCACGATCTTCTCGTGAGCTGCTTTGGCCGCCTTCTGTACTGCTGGTGGCGCATGTGTTCCACAAGCGCGCTGAATCCGAGATACCCAATTGCCTGACCAGTGGCACTGCGTACACTGCCAGGATGGCTTCCTGGGCCCCAGTAGTACATCCTTCGAACTCAAGGAATTCCCTTCCGAGTGCACCACGTGCGCACAGGAGAGTTGGTGCTCCAACAGGCGCTCACAGCATTGTTTGACCGGCCTGTCTTGTCAGAAAGCACAGGTCCTGAGCATGCTTCTTGGCTGCACGCAAGCTGACGCCCCAAGGGCTTCGAGGTTTCAATTTGAGCCACACACCTGTGCTTCTCCTTCTCCTCGCCCACCACCTCCTCACTTCCACTGCTTTCAACTCCCTTCCTCTCCCCCGCTTCTCCTCCTCCTCCTCCTCCTTCTCCTTCTGCTCCTCCTCCTCCTCCTCCTACTCCTCCTCCCTTCGTCGCTCCCTCCTCCTTAAATATCCTCCCCTCTTCCTCTCCTCTTCTTCTCTCTTCTGGCTCCTCTCCTTTCTCTGTTTGCTGGAGGAGGATGATGAGGCGGTGGAGGGGCGGAGGAGGAAGAGGAGGAGGAGGAGGAGGAGGAGGAGGAGGAGGAGGAGGAGGGGTATGGCGCCTTTTCACGAGCGAGGTGGCGGAGCAGCAGCGGCAGGGGCAGGAGTCGCCTCGCCCCGGCCCCTGGTCCGCATCGCTGATCCAGGCCGCTGCTGCCGCTTCTTGCTCGCCTGAGAGGGTGCGGCACTCCTCGTGCTCCTCTTCCTGCCCCTGCCGCGGCACGGACGTCGACGTCAGTCACAGCGGGCCACGGGAGCGCTCTGGGTGACGGCAGTGCCTGTGCTGCCGCTGGTGCTGCCCCTCCTTCTGCATCCCTCCCTCCCTCCCTCCCTCCCTCCCTACTCTTCTCCTCCTCTCCCTCCCTCCCTCCCTCCTTCCTTCCTTTCCTCTATCCCCCTTCCGGAAACTTCCCGTGCCCTCCGTGCCCTCCTCCTCGTCCGACGACGGCGACGCCGCCCAGGCCGCCGACCCCAGCGGCCGAGGCCGCCGACCGCGACGGCGCCCTTGTCCCGCTCCTCCCAGGGCCCGGCCCGGCAGACCCCTCTCGGCGGGGCGCAGCGGGTCCTGGCCTACTCGCCCCTGGGTGCGCCGCACAAGGTGGACAAGTACCTGGCGGGGGTGGGGCGGCTCCAGGCTGGCGCGGAAGGGGGTCAGCAGGAGGAGGAGGAGGAGGAGGAGGAGGAGGAGGAGGAGGAGGATGAGGAGGAGGAGGAGGAGGAGGAGGAGGAGGAGGAGGAGGAGGAGGAGGAAGGAGGAGGAGGAGGAGGAGGATGAGGAAGGAGGAGGAGGAGGAGGAGGAGGAGGAGGAGGAGAAGGAGGAGGAGGAGGGGGAGGGAGTGAGGAGGAGGAGGAGGAGGGAGGAGGAGGAGGAAGGAGGAGAGGAGGAGGAGGAAGGAGGAGGAGGAGGAGGAGGGAGGAGGAGGAGGAGGAGGAGGAGGAGGAGGAGGAGGGGAGGAAGGAGGAGGAGGAGGAGGAGGAGGAGGAGGAGGAGGAGGAGGAGAAGGAGGAGGGAGGAGGAGGGGGAGGGAGTGAGGAGAGGAGGAGGAGGAGGAGAGGAGGAGGAGGAGGAGGACGAGGAGGAGGAGGAGGAGGAGGAGAGGAGGAGGAGAGGAGGAGGAGGAGGAGGAGGGGAAGAAGAGGAGGAGGAGGAGGAGGAGGAGAGGAGGAGGAGGAAGGAGGAGAGGAGGAGGAGGAGGAGGAGGAGGAGGAGAGGAGAGAGGAGGAGGAGGAGGAGGAGGAGGAGGAGGAGGAGGAGGAGGAGGAGGGGAGGAGGAGGAAGAGGATGTGAGGAGGAGGAGGAGGAAGAGGAGGATGGAAGGAGGAGGAGGAAGGAGGAGGAGGAGGAGGAGGAGGAGGAGTGAGGAGGAGGAGGAGGAGTCGAATGCAACTCCTGAGAGGGTAAATTCTGCTTTCGCCCTGGTCCGAAATCTGGTTGAATCCGTCTTAATCCCGCTTAATCCGGCGTAGTCCCGCTTAGTATACTTTCATCACGTTCAATCCGCGGCCAATTCCTGAGTAGCAGCCCCCATCGGGGCTTCATCCTTTTCAATCCTTCCGACGAAGACCTCCCAGTAGTTGCCTCCTAGGGAGGAGGAGGAGGAGGAGGAGGAGGAGGAGGAGGAGGAGGAGGAGGAGGAGGAGGAGGAGGAGGAGCAGGAGCAGGAGCAGGAGCAGGAGCAGGAGGAGAGGAGGAGCAAGCCCGCCCAAAGCGGGTCTGCCAGGGCCCCCCCCCTGCGCGGCACTCCAGCTTCGTACGGGAGGGGGGGGGCGCCGGGGGACCTTTCCCCAGGGGGTTGGAGTGCGGGCAAAACTTGTGTTCGTATCCACTGCAGCTTGGACTTTTGGGCGCCCTTCCCCAGAAAGCCGAGGCGCACTGAATGTGGATAAAAATCTGGCCCCTGAGGCTCAGATTTGATCCATATCCAGTGCGCCTCGGCCTTGCGGCGCCCCCCTTCCACGAACGTCCAGGACGCCCTGGACATTGGTGTAAAGGTTGCCTGCGTGGAGGGCAGTTGCCTCCTGCGCCCGCGTCGGGCTCCACCCTCCAGACGCTCGGCCATGGGGGGAGCAGCCGCGGGGCAGGGGCAGTGGGAGGCCATCCGCGGCAGACAGTGGGGGCCCGCGCACACGTCCGCACGTTTCGGTGGACTTTTGCCGATCCACAAGACGATACGCAAACTATGTATGGGCCCGCGCGGGGCGGCCCGGCGGGACGGGCGTTCCCGGCGCGGGCATGCCTCAAGGTGTCGGACAGGAACAGGGAAGGAGGAGGAGGAGGAGGGGGGTGAGGAGGAGGTGTAGGAGGAGGAAGAGGAGGAGGAGGAGGAGGAGGAGGAGGAGGAGGAGGAGGAGAGGAGGAGGAGGAGGAGGTGGAGGTGGAGGAGGAGGAGGAGGAAGAGTTTTCAACGTTCTCGAACCTGTTCAAGGTGTCGGAAAGGAAAAGCGAAGGGGGTGGTGGTGGAGGAGGAGGAGAATGGGGGGGAGGAGGAGGAGGAGGAGGAGGAGGAGGAGGAGGAGGAGGAGGAGGAATACTAATACTAAGCATAATATTAATGAGAGTAAGAATCGCACTACTACCAATAAAACTAATGATCGTAGTCGTAGTAATAATATTAAGACGAATCAGAATAATGAGAATAATCATCTTACAACTACCAACAATAATGATCATATTGTAATGCTAATAATTATAAGAATTAGCAATAAGACTATTATTAGTAGTATTCTGAGTATGCGTATTATTAGTATTACTATTATTAATAATAGTATTATCAATACTGGTAGTTATACGAATACTAATGACACTACTAATGATACTGATACTTCTATTACTAATAATACTACTCATCATAGTAATAATAATAACAATAACCATAGTAATAATACTACTACGAATAGTAGTAATAATAATGATGATGATGATAACAATTAAATCATAATACTATGAGGAAGAGGAGGAGGCGGCGGAGGAGGAGCAGGGGGATGGGGGAGGGAGTTTTTCCAACGTTCTCGAATGTGCTCAAGGTGTCGGAACGGAAAAGCGAAGGAGGTGGTGGTGGAGGAGGAGGAGGAGGATGGGGGAGGAGGAGGAGGAGGGAGGAGGAGGAGGAGGGGATGAGGAGGAGGAAAAGGAGGAGGAGGCGGGAGGAGGAGGAGGAGGAGGGGAGGCGGAGGAGGAGGAGGGAGGAGGAGGAGGAGGAGGAGGAGGAGGAGGAGGAGGAGGAGGAGGAGGAGGATGGGCGAGGGAGGGCTTCCAACGTTCTCGATTGTATTCCGCGATGCGGTTCAGTGGTTCCCAGCAGCGGCGCCTCGTCGGAGCGCTCCGGGGATGCTGGCACCGTCCCGAGCGGCCTCCTGGGCCCTCCCGTCCCAGGCCTCGGGCTTCGGCGTGGAAGGGGTCGGGGCCCTGGCATCCTCGCGTCCTGGCCAAGCCACGGCGGAAGGTTTTTTTGAGCTGGCACACGTCGGTCTCCGCGTGGGGTCCGTGCCCCGCCCTGGGGGACCGTCGACACGAACGGCCCAGGCCGAGGAGGTAGGAGGTAGAGGGAGGGGGAGGAGAAGGAGGAGGAGGAGGAGGAGGAGCAGGAGGAGGAGGAGGGGAGAAGGAGAAGGAGGAGGAGGAGGAGGAGGAGTTCGAGGAGGAGATGGAGGAGGAGGAGGAGGAGGAGGAGGAGGAGGAGGAGGGAGGAGGAGGAGGAGGAGGAGGAGGAAGGAGGATGGAGGAGATGGAGGAGATGGAGGGCGAGGGAGGAGGAGGAGGAGGAGGGAGGAGGAGGAGGTAGGAGGAGGAGGAGGAGGAGGAGGAGGAGGAGGAGGAGAGAGATGGAGGAGGAAGAGGAGGAGGAGGAGGGGGTTGGAGGCAGGAGCGGGCTTGGAGGAGGCCCCGTCCCGCCCCCGCGCCCCCCCCCCCTGAAGCGCCACGCTGTGTTGGTCACGACCTCGGATGTCTGGGGGGAGGGGTGTCCGCGGTTCGGTCGGGCTCGATGGACTTCAGGCGGGTTTGGAGCTCCATGTGCTCGGCTTGGTGATCTTGTGTGTCCTCTCGAGGCTCGACGGGGCTGTCTGATGAAAAAGATCGCAGTCGGCCGTGTTCGGCCGCGTTCAGTTCGGTCGGTTGCGGCGCCGTTGCGCCCCCTAGGTTGCAGTCGGTCTTTCTCATGGCGCCCGTCCCCCATCAGCCAAAAAGGCGTGCGACCGAAAAAGCAATGTGTGACCGCGAACGCGCCAGCAACTGGGACCGAAAACCTAGTGTGACCAAACTTGTGACCGAAACTGCAAATCGCATTCGTTTCGAACCAACCGTTTCGGTCACACTCGAGCGCGGTCGGAACATTTCGGGCGCCAGTTTCGGTCACATTTGTGCAGATTCTCGGGCACGTTTCCGGTCACCACATTCCCCCGATATATAGAAACGAGGCTGCGGGATCTTTCAGTCTTGGCTGGCTTAGTCCAGCCATTTTTTGAGGTCGTTGTCGCCATGTGGGGCGTTCCAAAAAGGGCCTTACCTTCGCGAGTGGGAGAAGTTGTCATCTCTTCCGCGGCGGAAGTCGGCGGAAGGTCGGCGGAAGTAAAACGAGGTCGCCTCCGCCGGCGGAAGCCGGCGGAAGCTCGGCGGAAGGCGGCGGAAGTAACAGTTGCACCCCAAGAGATGAGCACGTTTTCGGGTTCAGGGTTTCTGAAACCGCCCATGTGTGTGTGTGTGTGTGGGTGGGTGTGGGTGTATCTATGGGAGGGTGGCTGGTTCCGACGGCGCGCCCCGTCGAGGCCGCCTCAGCCGCGCCACCTGCGAGCGCACGCCCCTCGCGCGCGCGGCTGGCGGGCTACTCCTCTCGCCCAGGGGTCTCCCAGCTTAGGGTGCTCGGGGGCCGAGGGTCGCGCCGCCTCGCCGCTGCATCGGCGACGTGGCTCGATGCGGGGGCATGCAGTCGATCCGCATGGTAAGGATGGGCAGCCTTCCCAAGGGTACCCCTCCTCCTTCCCTCCTCCTCCTCCTCCTCCTCCTCCTCATCATCACCATCATCATCATCATCATCATCATCATCATCATCATCATCATCATCATCATCATCATCATCACCATCACCATCATTATCAGCAGCAGCATCAGCATCAGCATCAGCATCAGCATCATCATCATCGTCATCATCATCAGCAGCATCAGCAGCATCAGCAGCATCAGCAGCATCAGCAGCATCATCATCAGCATCAGCATCAGCATCATCGTCATCATCATCATCATCAGCAGCAGCAGCATCATCATCATCATCATCATCATCATCATCATCATCATCATCATCATCATCATCATCCCCCTCCTCCTCCTTCTTCTTTTTCTTCTCCTCCTCCTCCTCCTCCTCCTCCTCCTCCTCCTCCTACCCCCCCCAAGGGTGCCCCTGCCTCCTTCCCTCCTCGGCCCATCCCCTCGACCTCATCCCCTGCCTCCTTCCCTCCTCGGCCTCCTCCCCTGCCTCCTCCCCGTTCCGCCTTCGTGGGCCGCGCCCCGCTCGAGGAGCTCCGAGCGGGCCCTCCAGAGCCCTCTCCGGCATCCTTGTGCCCTGCGTCCGTGCGACAGGAGCTGACAGTGCTCTCTCCCTGCCGATGGCGCCGATGCGTCGCCGACGCGTCGCCGACGCATCGGCGAGGCACCGGGCGGTGTAGCGCGATCCTCGGGCCCCGTCCGCTCGGGCTCCGTCCGGGAGGCCTCCATCATGCTCGCTCGCCCTGCCCGCTCTCGCCCGCCGCGCCCCCGGGGCCAGGGGCCAAAGGGCCCCGCGAGGGGCGCCGCGCGACCTGGTGCCGAGCAGAGGTGAGGAGGGAGGAGGAGGGAGGAGGGGAGGAGGAGGGAGGAGGAGGGAGGAGGAGGGAGGAGGAGGAGGGAGGGGGAGGGAGGAGGAGGGAGGAGGGGTGGCGGAAGGAAAGGGTACGTTCGAGCTTATGAGCAGGTCGACCCTGCCAGGGCAAGGGCACCCTCGTGTCCTGCGTTTAGCGGTCCATACCTTCTGCATCTTTATGGCAATGCGGCCCTCGGAATTGTCTTCTTGTCCTCTCGCATACCACCCTCCAGTCACACTCGACTGTATCAACGGCACTTGTGTTGGTCCTTCGGCTTTGTCCGACGAAGATCTAGCGCATGCTTCGTCAACGGTAGCACGCTGATGGGTTCCCCAGGGTGGCGTGTCGTTGAGTTTTTTAGATAGTAGATCACGGAAGCTTCTTTGATTGAACGTGTATCAACGAATTGCGCCCAGCAGCGCTCAATGGCGCGAAATAACGCCCAATTGCGCCCAGTAGCGCCGAACAGCGCTCGACTAGCGCCCTGCAGCGACCGACAGCGCCCAGCAGCGCCATGTGCGGGAGATGCCTCGTGCCCACTCCGAGCGCGACGGGGCGCTCCTGCGGGGCCCCGCCACGGAGACGGCCGGCAGCTTCCGCGAGCTGCCCTCCGGGGCGCCCGTTGCTCCAGCGGTGGCACGCGGCGGGGCCGTTGCCCACGGCGGCGTGTCGCGGATGCCTATTGGGTGCTGCCTTTGCCCCCCCCCCCCCCCCTGCGCGGCGCAGGGAGAGGGCGGGGGCCAGTGGCGTGGCGGAGGAGAGGGCGGCGGCGCTCGTTCCGCTTCCTCCGGCCCGATGCGCCTCGACTTCTGTGGGCGCCGAGGCCGATTCGATCCGACGTGGGCGCCGATGTCTTGAGGGGGCCCTCCGGCTCTGCCGCTCTCGGCGCCGAGTCGACTCCTCCCGACTCGGCCGCCGATCTTTTTCCGCCGATCCGACGACAGGTTCGATCGCCGATTCGACTCACCCTGGGGCGGGAGCGCACACACTGGAAGGGAGCACACATTGCAATGCACATTGGAGGGGGACACACATTTCCCTTCCAATGTGCGTCCCTTCCAATGCGTATCCCTTCCAATGTGTGTCCCCTTCCAGTGTGTGTGTGTGTGTGTGTTCCCTTCCAATGTGTGCTCCCTTCCAATGTGTGGCGCGGGGCCTGTGCAGTCGCGGTCTCTCCGCCCTCTCTCCTCGCGGCCGCATGCGCGCGGGCACCGCCGTCCCAGGGTGCCGCGGAGGCCGCGCGGCGCAAGCGGGAGCCCAGCCCGCCACCTCTCTTCGCCACGGTAAGTTCGGTGTCGGTATAGGGAGAGAGAGAGAGAGAGAGAGAGAGAGAGAGAGAGAGAGAAAAAAAAAAAAGGAGAGAGAGAGAGAGAGAGAGAGAGAAAGAGAGGGAGAGACACCATAACGCAGCACGGGTGGGGTGCTATCTGCGAGGCTTCTGACGTACCTGGATCCAAGAAGTCCGCGCGGGGCGCCGACAGTTTCTGTCCATGGCGTTTTTGTTCTTCTCCGATGAGGGTCAACGACGAGAGGGGCCCGGCTCCAGGGGGGGGAACATCGACCTCGAGTCGGCAGGACCTCTCGCCGAGGGATCGGCGACGGGCCCCCGACGGCGAGCCCGCCCACGCCTAGGCGGGCGGGGCCATCGGGCGCCCGTCGGCGACGGCTGGGCGACTTTGGGCGGAGGCGCGCCCCGCCCCGGCATTTGGCGGAGGGGAGCGGGCTCCAGCGTGTCAGCGCAGCGCGCCGCGGCCGTTCGCCTCCTCCTCCTCCTCCCTCCTCCTCCTCCTCCTCCTCCTCCTCCTCCTCCTCCTCCTCCTCCTCCTCCTCCTCCTCCTCCTCCTCCTCCTCCTCCTCCTCCTCCTCCTCCTCCCCCTGCTCCCTGGAAGGCCAGGCGTCCTGTGGACTCGGGCCCGGGGCCTCGGCCCGAGGACACCGCATGCCCGGGAGTCCGTCTAGCTCGCTGCAGTGCCGCCTTCGCTGGAAGGCGCGCGTGCCAGAGATCCGCGCGCAGCGCCAACAGTTTATGTTTATACCGTTTTCCCCTGGGCGGTCCCGGCCCGCTTCCTCCTCTTCGGCCGTCGATTCGTTGTCTCCTCCCCTCCATTGCATGGTGGCACAACTCGCTTAACGGCAGCCCCGTCTTGCTTCCTCGGCAGCGCAGTGACCCTGCGTAGCCGCCGACGAACAAAGTGTGTGCTGTTTTTGTTTCCTTCGGCTTCGCACGAGGACGACGAGGGTCAGGCAGGCCTGGCAAGAAGAATAATAATAATAAGAATAATGATAAGAAGAAGAGGAAGAGGAATAATAATAAGAAGAAGAAGACAGATATCGTGCCAGAGCGCCCCGGAGGGCCTCATCCGAGAGAGCTCCGGGAAGAAGCGAGCTCCGGGCCTCCGCTGAAGTGCCCCCGCGTGCACGGCTGGCCCCAGACCTGCGGGCTCTCTCTCGGAGACTTTTGTCGGGCCGCGCTCGCTCCGACGTTCTGTACTTGGGGCGTTCCGGGAGGGGCCTCGGCCTGCGAGGATCCACGGGGCTGTCGTCTTCCTCGGCGGGAGCTGGGCGAGGACCGGCAGATCCTCGGCTCAGAGACTTTCCGTGGGGCGTTCCAGAAAGGGCCTCGCCTGCGAGGATCAACGGGGCTGTCACGTCTTCCTCGGAGGAAGCTGGGCGGAAGGTCGGCGGAAGTAAAGCGAGCCCGCCTCCGCGGGCGGGAGCAGGGCGGAAGGGCGGCGGAAGGCGGCGGAAGTAAAACATGTGCCCCCAAGAGATGAGAAGGTCTTGAGGCTCAGGGTTTCCGACATCGCCCATATCTAATTTCCCGCCGCCGTCTTGAAGAATGGAGTTTTGAAGTTCGATGATCGACGCTGTTGGGCGCCCCATATCGTTTCCCGCCGCCGTCTTGAAGAACGGAGGTGCGAAGTTCGATGATCGACGCTTGTTGGGCGCCCGTCCCCTTAGCACAGGACTAAGGGGGGCTCCCCGCCGATCCGGCTGGTATCCCTTGGGTGGCCTGTTCCGAACGCCACGTCGGAGCCAGAGGGGTTAGCCACTGTATCGCGTATCTGTGCAAGCAGCGCGTTCCACGCAGACGACACCAGCTTGCAATGTTAGGTCACAGCTCTGTTTCTTGGCCCGCGTCGGCGATGCTTGGGCCCCAATGTGGCGGCTTAGCCAACCCACTGCGCTGAGCACCAGTTTGCTCCATTGTTCCACTTGGCCCCCAGTACAGTCTTTCTGTTTCAACGCCGTTACATTTTCTCTTCCGAACTGTTCGTGCGTGCTTGAGTGTACGTTCTCCGCTCGCGAGACCCGTTTCGATTTGCTGCGCCCAACCCAGGCATACGGCTTATTGAATGTATATGTGCTCGCGCGTCATTTGTTATATGTGCGTCTGCACACTTTGCTGCTTACGTTTTGTTTTTGTTTCCCAACCATCCTGTGGTGTTGGGACCTCGTTTTGAAGAGACACAGCGCCCCGCGTCAGTCACTCACTCCTCTTCCTCCTCCTCCTCCTCCTCCTTCTCCTCCTCTTCCTCCTCCTCCTTTCTCCTCCCCTCTTCGCTCCTCCCATCCGTGCCTCTGCCCTTCGCATGTCCATTTCGGCAAACCCGTGACACGTTTCGTGTCCCCATATGAAGCTCCACCAAAGGTTCCAGTGGCAAAGTTCGAATGCGGTTCCCCGACCATGTAGGCACACCCCTCACACGTTTCGTGGGAGCTCCACCTGGCAAAGTTCGTATGCGGTTCCCCACCTATTTCGTCACCTCGTGGCCCCATAGGGAGCTCCACCGAATGCCCCATCGGCCGGGTTCGCATGCAGTTCCCCGCCTATTTCGGCACACCTTTCACACTTTTCGTGGCCTTATGGAGAGCTTCTCCGACGGCCCCAGCGGCAGGATTCGCATGCGATTCCCCGCCTATTTCGGCACACCCTTCACACGCTTCGTGGCCTCACAGGGAGCTCCGCCGAAGGCCCCAGCGGCAGGGTTCGCATGCGGTTTCCCGCCTATTTCGGCACACCCCTCACACGTTTCGTGGCCCCATAGGGAGCTCCACCGACGACCCCAGCGGCAGGGTTCGCATGCGGCCCCCCGACCATGTAGGCATACCCTTGACACGCCTCGTGGCCCCATAGGGAGCTCCACCGAAGGCCCCAGCGGCATGGTTCGCATGCGGTTCCCCGCCTATTTCGGCACACCTTTGGCACGCCTCGTGGCCCCATAGGGAGCTCCACCGAAGGCCCCAGCGGCAGGGTTCGCATGCGGTTCCCCGCCTATTTCGGCACACCTTTCACGCGTTTCGTGGCCCCATAGAGAGCTTCTCCGAAGGCCCCAGCGGAAGGGTTCGCATGCGGTTCCCCGCCTAGGTCGGCACACCTTTCACACGCTTCGTGGTCTCATAGAGAGCTTATTTGACGGCCCCAGCGGCAGGGTTCGCATGCGGTTCCCCGCCTATTTCGGCACACTCTTCACACGTTTCGTGGCCTCATAGGTCGCTCCGCCGAAGGCCCCAGCGGCAGGTTTCGCATGCGGTTCCCCGCCTATTTCGGCACACCTTCAGAAGTGTCGTGGCCTCATAGGGAGCTCCACCGACGACCCCATCGGCAGGGTTCGCATTTGGTTCCCCGCCTATTTCGGCACACCCTTCACACGTTTCGTGGCCCTTCAGGGAGCTCCACCGACGACCCCAGTGGCAAGGTTCCCATGCGGTTTCCCGCCTATTTCGGCACACCCCTCACACACATTCACACGCTTCGTGGCCCCGTATGGGGGCTTCCCCGAAAGCCCCAGCGGAAGAGCTCGCATGCGGTTCCCTGGCCATTTCGAAACACCACTCACACGATTCGTGGCCCCATATGGAGCTCCACCGAAGGCCCCCGTTGCAGAGTTCGCATGTGGTTCCCTGCCCATTTCGGCACACTCTTGACACGCCTCGTGGCCCCAGAGGGAGCTCCACCGTAGTCCTCAGCGGCGGGGTTCGCATGCGGTTCTCCGTCCATTCCGACTCACCGCCGACATGCTTCGTAGCCCCGTATTGAGCTCCACCGAAAATGGTGCCATAACCCAGTATTCACAAGTGCACATGGTTGTGTCCTTCGCCAGGGTAAATTTAAGGTGGTGATCTTCTTCTCACGGTTTGCCACTCCGTCTTTGCATCATTCTACTTGCGTGTTGCTTCATGGTCGGTCTGTTCGCCACTGTATCTACCCATGTCTCATTATCACCTAAATCGCTTGCCCCCCTCAAACAATTGTGTCCTGCGCACTGCCCCGATGTCATCTACTCTGTGCTGCACGCCGTCAGGAACACTGTGCACCCATCAGAAACCTTGAGGGCAAGTCTTGAACTTTCATGTGCTCTGGATTTCGTTTAAGAGTAATCAAGCATCTGGACTGGACCCTGGGCCTTCGTTTTGAAACTGGTCGTAGGTTTTGCATTCTTGTTGAAATTGGTCGTTGGTTTTGTAGAACTTGGTACACCTGGACCTGGGCTACTGTAAAAAATGCTTGGAGTGAAGTCCCTTGTCTTGGCACGGTGTGGGCGATGCGTCAAACTGCTTTGCCTGTTCCCCACGCCTGCTGCCCAGGAGCTGTCGGTGCTGCAGCACCCCGGCGTCGAAGCCGTGGCCCGCTACCGCGGGGCAACGCCGGCGCTGACGACGCTGAGGCGCCGGCGCGCGCCTCTGCTCTCGAGGAGGGGGTGGAGGGGGGGGGGAGGAAGGTGGGGCGGGTGCAATGGGGGGGACCCAAAGGGGGTTGCAGACGAGCCCTGCATGGGGCCCTTTGGGCCCCTTTTTTCCCCCCCCACTCCTCCTCCTCCTCCTCCTCCACCTCCTCCTCCTCCTCCTCCCTCCTCCTCCTCCTGCTCCCTCCTCCTCCTCCTCCCTCCTCCTCCTCCTCCTACCCTCCTCCACCTCCTCCTCCTTCCTCCTCCTCCTCCCTCCTCCTCCTCCTCCTCCTCTCCTCCTCCTCCTCCTCCTCCTCCTCCTCCTCCTCCTCCTCCCCCTGGGCGGCCGAAACCGCCCCGCCACCCGCCCGAGGAGGGGCGGAGAGGCCGCGCAGGGGGGGCGTGGCCGCGGGGGCCCGGAGGCCGGCCGTCGGGGCAGCGGGGGGAGCTCTCGGCATGCCTGGGGTCCTGCGCGTGTGTGGCGCGCGGGGGCGTGCCAGCCTGGCCCGCGTGCGGGCGCGCGTCCCGCGTGGGCTGCGCGCTGCTGCGCTGCACGGTTGCTTCCCGGGTGTCTTCCTGAAACGACGACAAACTCGGATCGGGATAGCTCGAGATTTCCGAGAATCGGCGGGTTGGGAGGATGTATTGGGCGCCGCGGCCGCTCCAGAGCGTTCCGGAACGCGGTGAGAGCGCTCCGGAACGCTGAGGAGCGATTTATCCCGATCCTGGCCCTGTTTTACTTTCTGGCTGCAGGTTTGGTCGCAAAGCTGTGCCCCACTGTGGCTGCTACTTTGCGGGGAGCCGCTCTTCCCCGGATCGTCTGTCGCAGAGCCTGCTCTCCTCGGTCCCCTCGCAGAAAACCGCGAGTGGGTGGGTAGTGTTTTGCCTCAGCGCACTTTTGGTTCCACAGCCCACCCGCAGTACGCCAGTAGAAATTGCGCGCCTCTGTGTGTATCGCTCCGATTCCTCATCGTTGGCGTGGAGTGAAGCTTAGCAAGGACGTTGGAAGAAGAGCGGGACGGAGGGAAGGAAGGGAGGAGAGCATTGGGATTGGAGGTAGGATCCTGGGAGTAAGGGGGCAGCCGAATCAGGATGTGGAGGTCAGGGGACTGCCAGGAGGGGTCGTTGATGCAGTCAAGGCGGGGACAGTAGTGGCCTTGAGAGGCGGCAGGAGTGTCGCCGGAGGCGGGGTCATTTCATTTGCGGCCCTCAGGTGGCACGTGCAGCACGGCTTCGTGCCCATCCCCAAGTCCTGGAACGCGGAGCACATCGCCGCGAACGGCCCGGCGGCCGTCTGCGCCGAGCAGCTCGGTGCGACGGAGATGTCCGTGCTGGACGGCATGCACTCGGACGTGCGCCCGGCGTGCCAGAACCGCGGGGGAGGAGGAGGAGGGGGAGGAGGGGGAGGAGGAGGAGGAGGAGGAGGAGGAGGAGGAGGAGGAGAAGGAGGAGGATGTCCCTCCTCCTCTTGGTCCAGGAGGGCGAAGGGGATGAGGAAGAGCTTCGCCCCGTCGTCGGGAGGAGGAGGAGGAGGGAGCGCAGGGAGGGGAGGGGGTTCTGATTTCTTATCTCTGCCCGTGACAATTGCAGGATCGCCCTTGCAGCCCAGGCTGTGCAGCACAGGTGCCTCAGACCGCAACTGGCACAAGGGGTGGGCTATACGAATGCATCTGGTGCGCATGAAGCGTGTGGCTGTCGCCAAGGGCCTGGGGTTCTTCACGTCACAGGGTCGCGATGTGGGCGGATCTGTGTGGCTTCGTCTGCTTTGTTGCAGGCAAGTCCTTAAGAGAGTATCTAAGTGGGCCTGCCACGCTTCGGCGCGGCACGCGAAGGACGCCTGAGTCCTCGGGCATCTTCGCCCTGAGCTTTTCCCGGCGCTGCGTCTCACGCAGCAGAGAGACGCGTCGCCAGCCCGCGAGGCACAGCGCGTCGGAGGGGCCGTCGCCGCGACACGCCAGGCAACAGTCCTCCCTCCACCGCATTCGCCACGCATGAAGAAGGATGGACGAGTAGGAGAAGGAGGCTACATGCAAGGAGGAGGAGGAGGAGGAGGAGGAGGAGGAGGAGGAGGAGGAGGGCGAGGGCAGGAGGAGGAGGAGGAGGAAGAGGAGGAGGAGGAGGAGGAGGAGGAGGAGGAGGGAAAGGTGTCTGGTGAGTTTGTTGCCGCCCCTGGATTCTGACCCCTTACAGGGCGTCCCCGGACCTCCCCCGATGCCTCCTGGAGGCCCGCGCAGCGTCCGGAGGCGCCCGAGCAGCTCCCGAGCACGTCTCTCGGAGCCCTCCTCCTCGATCCTCGAGGGCCCGGGGCAGGCCCTGGCGCCGCGCCCTCCCCCGCCGGCCTCCCCCGGAGGTCCGCACCGTCGTCCTCTACAAGAAGGGCGCCGCGGGGGAGCTCTGACGGCGCGCCCCCGCCGTCGGCGCCCCCGCCCGGCGCGGGCGTCGCCGGGCTGGGCGGCCGGCTGGGCTCGCGGGCGGCGAAACGTCGGCGGCCACGGCGAGTCGGGTGGTGGCACGCCCTCGAGATCCCAGGCCCTGTCGCGCCATGGAGGAGGATCACGACGGGAGGTTTCGGGCGGTCTTCTGCCTGTCGGGGCCCCCCTTCCGGGCCCCAGGGCTGGCAAAAGCGATTGGGATGAGAGATCAGCCAGCGCAGGCTCCAAATAGATCGGAAGACTGGAATGAAGTGGACTGGAATGGACTGAAGCAGACTGGACTGAAGTAGACTGGACTGGACTGGGGTGGACTCTACTCTGCTCTATTCTGCTCCAGTCGACTCCACTCTGCTGTCTTGTAGTCTACTCTACTCTATTATACCATCTGCTGTATACTCTACCCTGCCTTACTCAACCCATAACCTAACCTGCTCTGCTCTACAATACTCTACCTCACTCTGTCCTATTATACTCTACTCTACTCTACTCCGACTCTACTCCTATTCAACTCCGACCCTACTTTACTCTTCCACTGGACTCTACTACTCTACTCTACCATGTGCTGTACTCCACTATACTTTTCTCTGCCCTACTCTACTTTACATACCCTACCGTGACCTACTCTACTCTACTTTATTATACTCTACTCTACTCTATTGTCCTCTACTCCGACCCTACTCTACTCCTACTCTACCCTATTCTGCTCTACTCTACTCGACTCTACGCTAGTCTACTCTTAACAATCTCTCCTCTACTCGTACCCTCACTCTGCTCTGTTCTAATATATTATACTCCCACTCTACGCTACTCCACCCTACTCTACTCTACTCTACTCTACTCCTGAGTTTGACGATTTTTGGGCGATTGTCGGGATGCCATTGGAATAGCCGCAGGAAGCCACTGCAATAGCAAAGACATCCACTGCAATAGCAGAGGAAACCATGGCAGTAACAGAAGACGCCCTTGTATCCTTCCATTCGCAGAGGAAGCCTGAGCATTAGTTCGGGGCAAAGTAGGAGGGGGGGCGAGATAGTGGACCATTTCTCTATGGATTGAGCTCGGACTTCTATGGGCAAGCCACATGGGAAAAAACTGGTCCCTGGCACGGGGTCGAGACCTCTGAGGGTCCAAGTTTTGAAGAACTCACGTCGTGTTGGGGTTCTGGATCCCGGCGTTTTTCACACGCCTGGCGTTTTCGCCCGCACGTGGGCCCTGGGGCCTTCGCAGACCGATCTGGCCTGGGAACTGCCGCAGAGAGGCGGTGTCTGACAAGGGCATTTTCCACGATTGTTGTCATTTTTTCGCGATGTCGCCACCCCAGGTTGGCAGCGAGAAGGCTACGCGTTCGACCACAGACTCTCCTACGACAGGTTCGCGTCGTGTCGACCAGCGGCGACCCCAGCGCGGGCGTGTAAGGTTGAACACCGCCTGTGGTCCGGTATCGGCCCCTCCTTGAACGATCCGGCCTCGTCGAAGGGGCCGATCGTTCAAGTCTGGACGATCCCCGCGGTGTCGGGCACCAGCGCCAGGGGCGACACGACGCACACCTGCTGTATACGCCCTCGGGCCCTGACCGGTGGTCTCTCGGCGATCTTTGGGGCGGTGATCGCCGGGCGCCGGCGGTCTCCACGGCCCTGGGGCAGCGAGACGCTTCCGGGCGGCAGGGAGAAAGCGTCCAGCAATGGGCCGCCACGATTTGTCCCGCGTCACCCGGATCCGAAGTCGGGGGCGTCCAAGAGAGGGGGCGAGGACCAGAGTCGGAGGCCTCGAGCGTAGGGGAACGAAACATGGCACAAACACACAAACTCGGAGGTCCGCGCGGATTTCTCGGATCGGCGCTGGACCCCCTCCCCCCGCGGCGCCTCCGGCACCGCCCCTGGCGTTCTCCGCGCGCCAGGGAGGGGGGTCCAGCACTGATCCGAGACATCCGCGCGGAAGCCAGGGTTTTTCTGTTTATGTCATTCTTTGATCCCCTAGTCCAAGAGAGGGGGTGAGGACTAGAGTCGGAGGTCTAGAGGTTGACACCAGCACCGACATCGGTGGTGTGCCTCCACCGAGGGCAGATGATCCCGCTTCCTGGGTGGTCGAAACAGAACCACCAGCAACAGAATCTAGGATCATTCTTCCCCAGTGGAGGCAGCCCCCTGTGTTGGTGTTGGTGCCCAGCTTCAGATCTCCAAGAGCGGGGGCCATGACATCTCTAGCAGATGTCATGGCCCCCGCTTTGTCCTTGCAGCGAGTCCCCTGGCGCCCACGCGTCCGCCTGCACGCCTCGGGTCACGATGCGCCCCCCCCTCTTCCATCAGCGGCGACGACGGACGGACGGACGGACGACGACGACGACGGACGACGACGACGACGACGACGACGATGACGACGACGACGACGACGGACGACCGACGACGACGACGACGACGACGACGACGACGACGACGACGACGGACGGACCGACGACGACGACGACGACGACGACGACGACGACGACGACGACGACGACGACGACGACGGACGGACCGACGACGACGGCGATGACGACGACGACGGCGACGACGACGGACGGACGACGACGGCGACGACGACGACGACGACGACGACGGACGGACGGACGGACGGACGGACGGACGGACGGACGGACGGACGACGACGACGACGACGACGACGAGACGCCGGGCCCCGATGGCCACCCCTCTTCCATGACATCTGAGCGGCGAAGAAAAATGAGGTAAACTTTGCCGACGTTCGTGCGTAGGTTGCTCGCGTAAGGTCGCGCGTGAGCGCCCTCGTCTCCGATGCGGCGTGCCGCGCCGGCGGCGGGTCCCGGCAAGGGCCCGGAGGCCGGGATTGACAGACAGCTTGTTCGTCGTGTTTTTTCTCATGGCTCAAGGGGGGCTGGGGATGAAGCCCCTCTCTCGCTCTGGCTAGCGTTTTCTGGCGGCCCCACGGACCGACTCTGGTGCGAAGCGGCCGGGGCTGGGGCAGGGATGCATCGCCCCAGAGTGCTTCAGAACCCTCTTGGAAGGCTGCGGCGCCCGACACAGCTTCCAGAACCGTCGGGTTTGAGAGGTCTCCGACTTCTCCCTGTCCGATTTTCTCCCGGGGTGGCTTTTTCTCATCAAGGGGCCGCTCGTGTCCCTGAATTGACCGAGTAGGGGATCGACTACATCATAGATTTACCCCAGAATTGATTTGTTTTGGTTCGGCGAATCTGCTAAGGATGCGTAGACTGCTCGCAGATCTACGGACAAGTCCGTGTACTTGTTCGTAGATCCGAGTGGAAAACCAACACTGGGGCAAGTCAATTCTGGAGTCGATCCCTTGCTCGAATTCAGATACGGCGGCGCCAAACATTGAAACCTCACGGAGACCCACAGCCGGAGCACTGCACCCCAGCTTTCCGCGCCAGCCTCGGGTATAGCCAGGACCCCAGGTGAGGGGACCCGGTCAGCAGTAGGGCCCCGGAGCCCCTAAACTGGCCAGAGTCACTACACCAGGTCTGCCGCAGCTGGTGTTTTTTTCGGGTGACGGCAGTTCTGGTTAGTGGAGCGGGGCTGGGGGGGGCGTCCCCCAGTACACATCAGTAATGGAGGATGACGATTAATAAACGACCGGGGGTCGTGTTCACGCGGCGGCGCCCGGGATGACGATTAGAAAAAACCGGCCGCGGGCTGGAATTTTGTTTTAATCGTACTCAGTCAGAAAACTGTGCAAAGAATCGCAGAAACTATTTTTTTAATCGTTCTCTCCCATTCTTTTTTAAATCGTCATCCCGTATTAAACCAGGTCCCACTAAACCCAATTCTGCCAACGCCCGACAGTCTTCGAGCTATGGGCCGACCTGCGAGGGCCACGGGGACCGACAATGTCGCGCGAGCGCCCGGCTCTACAAAAGAGAACGCGGCGACGCCAGGAGCTCGTCGGCGGCGCGCGAGAGCGACCCTTCGCTGGAGGGACCTTCCCAGACCCCCTTGAGCAAGGTAAATATTATCCCAGTGCGACCCTACCTAGGAGTTGGAGGATCTAGGAAAGCAACATCTAACACTTATATGAAGCCAAGCTAGGCTAAGATGAAGCTAATCTAAGATGAAATAAGCTAAGCTAAGATGAGATAAGCAAGGCGAAGCTAAGGGAACGTCACTGGGGGAACCGCGGGGCGGATGCCGGGGGAACCGCCCGGGGCGTGCCCCACTGCCCGGCCCTTTGAGCATACAGAGTAAGAACCCTTCTAGGCAGAGCCCAGGTAAAGAAAACACACGACGGGAGGCTTTTCGCCATCTTCGGCCTCTGGGGGCCCTTGTCATGGCGCCAGCATCGCAGAGCGGATTTCGTTTTCGGAAAGCGATCGGGTGGGCCCGGAGAGTCCTGGAGAATTTCGCTCCGGATTTCGCAGTGGATTTCGTGCGGATGGAATGAAGACTAAACAAAAACCAACGCGAAATTCACGTCGTTTTTCGCTCTCCGCTTCGGGCAAAAATCCACGCAGGAATCCACGCAGAAATCCGCTGCAGCACGTCTGCAAGGCCGGTGCAATGACCCTTGCCGGGCCTCGGGGCCGTCCAAGAACGACTCAGGATGGGAAGCCGGTCCTGGGGAGTCGGTCCAAACCTCTGGAGGTCGACGTCACGAAAAAATCATGACGTCTCAGAGCCCCGAATCATCAGGGGTAACTCGGGTCAGGGCTAACTCGGGTTCGTTTTTCGGGATTCCGAACCCGAGTTGCCCCGGGCCCGAGTTACCCCGGATAATTCGGGCGTCCAGAGCCCCGAATCATCACGGGTAACTCGGGTCAGGGCTAACTCGGGTTCCTTTTTCGGGAATCCGAACCCGAGTTACCCCGGAGCCGAGTTACCCCGGATAACTCGGGCGCCCAGACGTCGGGGGCCGGGGTGCGGTGCGGGCCCACAGGCGCAGCCCCCCCGTGCACTGGCGGGCGCGCGCGAGCTGCCAGGACGGGCCGCCCCCGCGGCCC